AAAACACACAAATCTAAATGAAGGAAAGTAAACATTGTTTAGGGTACCCTATATTTTTCGTTTTCTGGAAATTTACAGAACTCCCTGGTACATGCAAGCAAAAAGGATACACAATTTCCATGTAGCTACAGACAGGTGAAAACATATTTATTTGCATTTTACCTCCTTAACTACAAATTTCTTCTACCACAGTTAAAAGCATACAGACACAGCATTTCAAATATATTTCAGCATAAGTCATCAATAACCAACAGGCCTATTCAGATACAAAAGGCAAAATTAAACTAGTCTTAAACTGGAAAAGTTAGAGATCAACTAAATTAGCTTCCTATTGGCAGTCAGCACTGTTCTTAATAGTATTGCATTATTTTTCCTTCTGAACAAATAACCTAAAATGGAGAAAGACTGCCATCTAGTGATGACCAATTTCTAATATTTCTTTTAAAATGGAATTTGATGTACCTAAATAAAACAGACTGATGAAAGACAACTAAAAATTGAATTTGATCAAATCTGTGGGTCCAAGGCAGGGGATGTAGTTCAACTGGTAGAGTGTAACCTTTCATAGAGAAAGCCCCAGAACTGCATAAAACTGGGCATGTTGCCAACACTAGGGAGGCAGAGACAGGAGGATCAGGAATTCAAAGCCATCCTCAGCTACACAAGTTTGAGACCAGCAGGAGCTACCTGAGACCTTGCCCCCACCACCCATCCCCCAGCCTCCCAAAAAATAAAAGGCAATCTTAGAAAAGGCAAACTCTCTGAAAGACTACTGTACTTCTCTATGCTTCTGACACAAGATACATAACAGTTAAACAAGACTATGGAACAAACAATAGGGAATTGCTTATCTATTCCATCACAAGAATATTCTAGTACTGTAAAAAGTAAGCAAGAAGAAATGCTTAGAAATTAACCATCATTTTTATACAGTAATGTTGACGCAAGTAAAATGGAGTCTGATTTTCATAACCTCCCTAGTCTAAACCAAAGGTTTTTACAAAAGGTATATTCATGCACCCTAGTGTGCATTGCTAGTGATACACTTTGATACATCATAATGGTTCCATATCCCTCTCCAACCTAGATCTCAAAAGCATTATTTTAAAAGCTTATAACTAATAAAGTGACACTTAAAACTTGAATTCAACATTACTATTCCCTAAACCACTACAGAAGTGTATGACTTGCATAAAGCCAAAATCAGCTTTAATCTGCTTTTCCAAAGATAAGAAAGGAGCCATATTGAGTGATACACATTCATAATCTCTGCATTCAGGAGGCTGAGGTCAGCCAGGGCTAAAAGGGAAGACCTTGTTGAGAAGGTGAAGTGGGAGCTGGGCAGTGGTGGCACACCCCTTTAGTCTTAGCACAAGAGAGGAAGAGGTAGGCAGATCTCTGCCTTGTCTCCAGAATGAGTTCCAGGACAGCCAGGGGCTACACAGAGAAACCCTCTCTAAAAAGAGAAAGAGGAGGGAGTAGAGAAAAGAGAGAAGAATGAGAGAGGAGAGGAAGGAGGAGGAATTCCAGTGCAGGGTAAGTCAGTTGTGGATTAGCTGTTATCTACATAGCAACTATTGACCCTTTTTTTGTTTGAGCAGTCCCAACTCTGTCTGGTGTTTCACAGTCCTATCCTACAACTAGAGGTAAACATTAAGTTAACTTGTCAGTGACCAGTTAACATAAGGATGTGTGATACAACTCTCACCAATGAAAAGGGAAACCTGTTAGTGGGGGAGGAGAGTGTGTAAAAAGTTGCTTTTCCTACCTTAAACACTGCCCTGTAAAAATAAGACATTTATAGGCAGGTGAAGCAACTATCCTAAAAAGAGGAAATGGTACCAATAATCTAGGTTTAGAAAGGGGAAAGTGTGGAAAACACCTGAATCCAGACTGTGGAGAAATTTTCACCAGCTGTCTCCAGATTTTGTCAGCCAATTACCAATTATTTAAGCTTCCCTCTATACTCTGTTATTTGCATAGTAAAGTATCCTAAATGACAGCATGTGGTGCAGTTTGCAAAGGCAAATCAAAGAGACAGACAACAATCAATATCCACAGTTTGTTAAGGACTCTGGTCTGCAGCCTCAATTATCCTTCCCTTCTTCTTCCACTTCAAAGTAAATCTCATCCACTCTTAAAACCACAGCTCACACCTTCCTTCTTCAGAAGAACCACTTCTAATCACTTAGAGCCTTTCATCCCTCCTCCTTTGTAACTAACTGCCTTCACAAAATGTATTAAACTATATTCTGATGGTCTGTTGAATTATCAGTCTTCTTAAATTAAAACATTAGTCCTCCCTTGTGCAAAGACTGTCTTACCCATTTTATCGCCTGGTGTTTTCACAGGGCCTGGACGTGGAAAGAGTCTTCCAGTGAAGTGGACACAAATGGATACAAAGTGGAAATGTAAATCAAGCAAGCATGAGGATTTACCCTGTGTCAGAGATGGATGCAAGAGCAATTCAGGAGACCAAGCATACCTACTCATGTCTTGAGACCAAGAAGAACTCAAGACACAAAGAACTGAACATTTTCAGTTTGGAGTTTTGGTTTTGATTATCCAAGAAAAAAAATTTCTGAGTTTGTTCTGGTCTTTTCTTTTTCATATATCTTTTTTAACTTGTCATGGCTTTATCCCTCAAACATTTTTTTCTCATTAAACTCCATAAAAGCATCATTAGTATTTTGTTTATTCCAAAAGTTAAAAATAAAGTGGAAAACACATTTGAGCATGATGTTGAAAGAGAGCTACAAGAGGTCAGAAGGAGTTTATATCTCTTCTCCTTACTTCAGAATGTCTACTGATTGTATTCAGACTTCAGAATTATAAATTGAATGCTCTGGGTATAGGAAAAAACAGACCACCGCATAACATCATCAATACCTGGAGATGCATATTGTAATTAATGAAGTCTAAGAGGATCAAAAACCATCTGACAGTTAATACTGTTGATCTGCCAACTTGTCTAGAATAATGTAGGAGACAAGCCTCTGGGAATGTCTATGGTGCAATTTCTATCTTAGGTTAACTAATATGAAAAGATGTACCAGTTAATGGGCTACAGCAGTGGTTCTCAAGCTTCTTAATGCTGTGACCCTTTAATACAGTTCCTCATATTGTTGTGACCCCAACCATAATTTTTAACTGTAATTTTGCTACTGTTATGAATTATAATGTAAATATCTATGTTTTCTGATGGTCTTAGGCAACTCCTGTAAAAAGGTAGTCCCCCACTAAAGAGGTCTTGACAGGTTCAGAACAGCTGGGATAGAGTTTATGACTCAATAAAAAAGGAAGAAGCAAGCTGAACCAGCTGAGGTGCCTATTTAACATATCAAAGTAGACCTGGCCACCAGGTTCTCCGCAACCCTCAGTCCCAACCTGTTACACGGTATGGCTAGTATTCATTACACACACACACACACACACACACACACACACACACACGCATGCACACACACATGCATGCACACACACACTACCAAAAATTTCTCCAGCCCAGGGGCTAAACTGCCCTTCCCCTAGCTGCTCTTCCCTATATAATCCAGCCATTTTGGTTACCTATCCCTTTACCCTCTTGCCCAGTCTCTTGGTCCCGGTCAGCAGCTGCTGCGCCCTCTCCCCCACCCCTCTCTCCACACATGTTCTCAAGGTCTTGCCCACTGTGAACTCTCCCACAAGTCCCTGCCTCTGACTATGCTCCTTTTTATCTAAAATAAACTTTCTCCCCCATCATACCTAAGAGTAGTCATATCCTTTCCTTTTTTGTTTCTTCTTTTCAATCAAACAAACACCAGCATCTAATTGTCAGAACACAGTCTAAGAATGAAGCGGTGTGAGATTTTTGAGACCTTGTGAGAAAACACTGAGTAAAGACAAAAGTCTTGTAATATCTGTTAAAACAGATATTACAAGATATGTTCCTTCATAACATGGGTTGTTCTTGGAATATGCTTTCATGCCCTCTCAGATGTAATAATAGGAGAAGGTTTTACTTTAGATTACACATCATTTTACCTATTAGTATTCAGAACGATGTTTCCAAGCATGACTTGCCTCCTGACAGTATACAGCTTAAACTCATGTGACCTTTGCTATTCTGACCTTGCTTAACCCTCAAGAATACCCTCAAAATATAAATTGTCTGATACTCTGAATAAAGTTGGCTATTGCATATTTTAGTCCACCTCATTTTTGGGCTCCACTCTCCCAGACCAACTAGAGTAGTAATATTTCATAACTATATTTTCTGGCTGTGGAGCAATATAACCGACCACTTTCTACTCTTGCCACCTGCCTTTCCCACCATGATAGACTGTATCCCCTTAAACTGGGAGCCAAAACAAAGCTTTCCTCCTTGAAGTTACTTCTTGTCAAATATTTGATCAAAGCAATACAAAAGGCAACTAATATAATACATAATCATATGGTTTTTGTAACACCATATGAGAGCAAACACATTCCAATGCTTTTTCTATCTTTCCAGATCCCAATGTATCTGACTAGCTTCACTAAGTCAGCCCATATAATCAAGAGGATGCTGTAAGGGAATTCTGCCTCAGGCAAGAAAGGAATCCAGAGGTGGGCACTTTCAGAAAACAGGGTGGGACAGCTTCAGATGGCAGCTAACTAGCCAAAGAGGCTTCTAAAGAATGTGACGGGTTAAATACAACTAGAAAGTCTCAAAAGAGGAGAATTTGTCATAAAATATAAGCCAAATCAACAACAGAAATCAAACAGGAAATAAACCAATAAAAGCAAAGGTAGTACAACTTTAGTATACAGAGACTGTCATAACTAAAACCTGGGTAATATGCTGTTGGAACAAATCATCACCATCAGATATAAAGTCTCAACAAAGTTTGTCAGTGGCTTTATTTTGTCCTTTGTACAAATTTGTGTTAAAAGAAAAAAGATTTTTTCCACTGCTTTTTTTTTAGCTGAATCATGAATGTTACTAATTATAAGATGAGAAATAAGAATACATGAGGCAGATCTTTTTTTAGTTCATAAGTAAGATGATTAAGTATTCGAATCACTGTGTGACATATACTACCCTCAAACTTTGTTATGAGGTTGGTACATTATTCATTTGACATAAAAAAAAGAAAGAGAATGCCTGAGGAAGGTGTGTGACTAAAATCCTGAGCTACATAATAAGTCAACCTGGGATACAATGAGACCCTGTCTTTAAAGAAATAAAAATTAACTAATTTTTAAAATAAATGAATGAATGAATGAATGAGCAGGGTGGTGCATGCCTGTAAATCCAACATTCTAAGACCTAAGTAGAAGGATCACTGCAAGTTCAAGGCCAGCTTGATCTCCACAGTGAGTCCAACCCAACCAGAGCAATTTAATACTCCAAAATTAAGTCCCTAACACTAAAAGCCCTGAGGGACCAATAAAGGATAATAGAGTTGTTTCAATTAAGAAAAATGTAATAGAAAACAAAGTAGCAAAATAAGATGATGCTCCCCAAGAGCAATGTAAAGCATTAGACATACTATGAAAAAACTCTGGTAGTAAATCTTAAAAATCTAAACTAAGGTTCTAGACCACTAGTGCATGACTTCCCTGTAAAGAATATAAAGAACATATCCAGTGACTAGAGTAAAAGGAACGGGAGTCAAAGAGAAAAATGAGGGGACCTTAAAATGAATAAAACCAAGATACCTCAGTCTAGGGTAAAGGGAGCCTGCAAGGAGACCTCCCTCCTCTGGTACTGAGTCTGGTTACAGGAGAAAGAAAAACTTCTAGTCATTTTAAACCAAAGTATAAGTCTCACAGTCATACTATTGATATCTGTGCAGTCAAAATATGTCAAATTCTTCATTTTAGGGCCAAGTATGGAGGTGCATTTTTTAATGCCAGCATTAAGGAAGTCAGAAGTAGAAGGATCAATTGCTTGAGTTCAAGTTCAAACCATGCCCAAGAAACATAGCAGAATATCATCTCACAAATAATTGTTATTTATTTTAGAAGCAATCTCCTTCCCAATGTTCACAGATAACTAACTGAATGAGCATAAATCTTCTCTAGAGAAATATATTTTATATATTTTAATTCATATTTCTAAGGCTTCTGAGAAGTAATAGTTCTTTAAAGTAGAATTTAATTATCAAAAAAAAAATCTTAGAACATGGACAATTTAAAAAAAAAAAGCTTAAAAAGAATCAAAGATTTACCCAGGCTTAAAACTGATGTGCATAAATTAAAAGTAAATTATATATTTAAAGAAGTAGCAAACATTTAAACCAAAAAAAAAGAAACATTAAACACTTAATTCCAAAACTGAAGAAATTAAAAAACTGCTACCAAAAGCAAACAGGTAGGGCCAGCAAGATAGCTCAGAAGGTAAAGGTACTTACTTGCTGCTAAGCCTTACAATCTGAAGGAAAGAATCAAATCTGGCAAGTTGTCCCCACTCATGCTACACACATAGACATGTACAAATAAATGTAATAAAAAATACACTATGTTATAGCATACAATAATAGTCTGTTTTTGAAGGAATAAACTACAAAATCTGTTGAAACACCTGGTTACCCTGCATCTGGAGTGGTGCAGGGTGAGTTATTCCTTCACAGCCATGGTATCACCACTTACCACTTAACCCTCATATTGACAATAAAAATCTGAACTGACCTTGACCTTAGGAAACCATGTGTGGTAGGGAGTAAATTCCATCAAAAGAATTATCCTTCCATTTACCCAAACACCTCATTCCATCCTCCAGTCACACTGGAAAACAGGCCTAAGAATGAATGAACACTATTAAGGACATTTCACTGGTGGAGAGTTAAGATTTGTTTGCTTGAAAATTTTTATTTGTTCATATCTTTGAAAAGCTGCTACACTGAACACCATACACATATGATTCATTGACATGTATATCACTCCCACAGGACCATGAGTTCCTTCAGAGTTCACACCTGGAACAATGCCTACATTCCACAGAGAAGGCATTATAAAGTGACATGGGGCCTATGACAGGACTCAAAGACTTTCAACTTTCTACAAGGACAGGCACTAGGGATGATAATAAACACTCTGACTAAAAAGTAAATTCAAGTCCTATTACTGCAAATAATCTGTACTTCAGCTAAAATATTAATACAGAAAGAACCAGAGAAAAAGAAGAAAAAAGGCTCAAGGGAATTTCTTATAGAAGAGTGTCTGGGAATAATTTGTTATTTCCCTAGTTCTCCTCTAGCCCTTCTGGAAGCCGGGAGCAACAAAGGCTGGTTCCAAGGGGAGCTGGTGTTTCTAGTCCTTACTGCCAACTGAAGGGGGAGGGTGACAGCAGTCCCTAAGGGCTTTTAGGAAAAATTGCTTCCAGGTGGAAATTTTTTATGATACTATGCAGCCTGCAGCACCTCCCCTTTCCCCCCTGCCTTCCTTCAGAACTACTGATGATTAAACCATGGACAATGAGACTGCAACAATGGAAACAGTCAGACAGCTTCCAAACAGCATGGTTATATGCTCCAAATTATCAAGTTAACTCTCAATTCATTGGCAAAGTTTGGGTTTGTTTTTAAAGAAAAGGACAAGGTAGTGTTTATTAAAGATTTGTGGAAGTAGCCCAGAACTCTCTATTGTAATGATAAACATCAGTACCCAACCAGCCCCACATAACACAGACATAGAAAGAAGATAGAGACAATCTTCAGTGTGCTGTTACCTACCAAGTTTTATAACTTTAGTCTGGCCTGGACTGAACACTCCATTTAGTCCTTCTGTCATCATAAGAGTGCACAGGGAACTTTGACCTGGTGTCGTGATGACAAGCTAGATCAGTTTACACCTGAATGTGGTACTGAAAAGGCTGTGTGTGTGTGTGTGTGTGTGTGTGTGTGTGTGTGTGTGTGTGTGTGTCTGCAGTCAAAGTGAATGTGTGCCAACTCAAAGTGGGGTTATATTGCTAGCCATGAAAAAAGCACAGAAAAATTAATCCTATGACACGGACTGAATCTGGGAAAAACTGTTCCCACGTCATTCACACTAAAAACGATATACCTGATTCGGCATTTCTAAATTGTAATCAAAGGAAGTATCTTTTAAATCTGTGTCAAAATGTCAAATGAACATCTTCCATATAGTAACTCAGCTATCCCTCAAATATAACCATGGTTGTTTGAATAAGAATGGCCCCCTAAGTGCATATATTTCAATGCTTTGTCATTGGGAAGTGGCCCTATGTGAGAAGGATTAAGAGGTATGCTCTTATGGAAGTGTGTCAACAGGTGAGCTTTGAGGTTTCGGAGGCAAATGCCAACCAAGCCCAGAGTCTCTCTCTTCCTGCTGCCTGTGGATCTGACGCAGAACTCTCAACTACTTCTCCAGCACCATGTCTGTCTATGTGCCACCATGCACCCCACCATGATGATAATAAACTAACTAAATGAAACTATAAGCAAGCCCCAATTAAATGTTTCTTTCATTAGAGTTGCTGAGGTCATGGTGTCTCTTCACAGATAAAACAGTGTCTAAGACAATAACACTCCTGGAGTAGTTATTATCATCAGTATGCATATGAAGCAATCTTTCCAAGACTTCTCTTATACAGAAATCTCTTTTATTACTACTACAATTACCACAATTTTATCAAGAATAACAAAATGAGCTTGGTGGTGGCAGTGTATGCCTTTGATCTCAACACTTGGGAGGCAGAGGCATTCGGATCTCCATGAATTTGAGGTCAACCTTATCTACAGAGTAGGTTCCAGGACAGCCAAGGTATAAGAGATACCCTTTCTCAAAATAAAATAAAAAATAAAAAAATAAAGAAAATAGAAATATAAAAGGTGAGAGGAAAGGGTTTTTTTTTAAGAGTAGAAAAGAGAAAAAGCAAGATGAGATGAAAACAACAAGGTATTTTAAACCATATGTCCACTCAACAACTATGCACACATATCCAAATATTTACATGTATATTCCTAGTAGGAATAGAAGGGACAGTAAGAAAAATCATAAAAATAATAATAATAAATACCTAGATAAATGTGACTCCTACTTTTTGTTGCTGGGTGGTTTTTTTTTGGTTGTTTTTTTGTTTGTTTTGTTTTTGTTTTTGTTTTTGTTTTAAAGGCAGAGTCTCACTATTTAGCCCTGACTGGCTTGGAACTCACTATACAGATCAGGCTAACCTGGAACTTACAGAGATCTGCCTATTTCTGCCTACAGTATGCATGGGATTCCACCATGCCTGACTTTGATTCTTACTTTCTTTATAACCCTTCTGTTTCTGATGTTTTACTTAAAGTGTTATTTTTAGTGTTTTAACAAAGAAAATGCATTTTAAAAATCTAGAACGGTACTAGAGTCACAGTAAATAGTAAGATTTTAACTAAAATAAACAGTAAACAAGAACAAACACTTTGGGGTTAACATAAGACCAAATATTTTTAAAAATTATCAAAGTAAAATAAAAATAAGAACTATGGAGTGGCAGCCAGAGGTAGTAGCATACACCTATAATCTCAGCTCCCAAAAGGAAGACACAAGGGGATTGCCCTAAGTTACAGAGCTACAAAACTGAAGTGTGGGAGATGATACGACTCAACTGTTAAAAGCGTTTATGTAAAATGCAAAACGTCTTGGGTTGTTCAGCACTGAATAAACCAGGCTGAAGACACAGCTCCATAATCCCAGCACTTGAAAGGCAGAGATAACAAAACCAGGTCAACTTTAGCTATCAAGTTTAAGCTCAACCTGGAATATATGAGACTCTGTCTTAAGAAACAAAATAGTTAAAAAATATAAAATACCTCACCCCTCATTTGCTGTTGGAGTGGGCAAGGAAGAGATGCTCTCTCCCTCTTTTGGAACCCCCCCACACTTCCTCATTCCATGCCTCCCATTCTCCCCTTCCACTGCCCCTTGCTACCTGAGGCAGGCAGGAGAGCTGGTCCCAATGTCATAAGAGCAGAACTGGCCTCATCCCTCATCCACCATGGAGTGACATGGGGGAGGGAGAAATGCCCTTCACCCTCCTTACCCCTTGCCACTTGAGGCAGGTAAGCTGGCCCTGACAAGGAAGAGCTGGTTCCACCCCTCATCAGCTGAAGCATTCTGGAGAACACCTCACCTGGG